CTACCAGAACTCCTTAATTCTCCAATAAGTAATTCAATTACAACTATGACAATTGCTACAAAGGAGAATTACAGAGTTCTGAACATAGATGAAGGAGCTATGGTGGCACAGTGGTTAGCACTTGACTACTAACCTAAAGGCCAGTGTTTAGAATCCATCAGCTGCTCTAGGAGAAAAAAAAAAAAAAAGATGTGGCAGTCTGGTTCTGTAAAGATTATGGTCTTGGAAACCCTATGGGGACAGTTCTACTCTGTTCCATAGGGTTGCTGTGAGTCAGAACTGACAGTCTGGCAGAGGGTTTTGTTGGGAGTTTGAGCACAGATTTAAGGGGAGAAGTAAAAATGTTTCTTGAGATCAAAAGGCTTGTGTAGCCATCTGAAGATCCTTAGATATTAATTAGGAAAAGAAGTGGGAAAGATCATTCTAAGCAGAGACAAAGTGTATCTATCTAATGGTCAACGGGTGAGAGAGAAGATTTTGTTTTTTTGAATTTCAATATGAGGAACAAAAATCTCATGTGGTTGGAGCTCTGAAACTTGTAGAAATAAGACTGGAGTTGAGATAGGATAAGATTATGCAGAGCTTTATAAGGTACACTATTAAATTTTATCTTTCTCTTTAGGACAAAGAAAAGCCACTGAATAATTTTAAGGAGATATGATCATTTAGGCAGTGGTGGAGGTAGTGGCTGCAGGTCAGACATGGATTTGGTGGGGAAGCCACAGTAGTTGCAGAGAGATAAGGGAGGAAGTTATCACACAAATTCAAGGAACAGAAAAGTTAGTGCCTTGAAATAGTTTGGTAGTGTGGAGATAGAGTGCAGCAGACAATTTTGAGAGATATTTAGAAGGTAAAATTGATAGGACTTAATGATTGAGCGAGTAATGATTTGTTATAAAGAAAATGTCAAGAGGAAAACACTGTCTGGCTAGTACAAGTAGATATACATTGATGGTGTTTATTAAGATAAAGAACATGGGAGAAGGGAGATAAAGTCTGGGTTTAATTGACTCAGAGACTCTGAAGTCTCTGAGGGAAGATGCAGAACAGGCAGTCTGAGGTACAAACCAGTTAGTGAACTGATAAATTACTTTTCTTTTCTTTCTGGGCACATAGCTACACCACATCTCAGGATTTTATGCAGCTAGGTGAAGCTATGTGGCTGAGTTCTGGAATGTCAGCTGAAACTTGGTTGTTAAACACTGCCACTCAGTCATCCATGCTCAATTCCTCTTCCACTGGGTGAAGACATACACAGGACTCTGAGGAAGAGAGGCCTGTGTCCCCAGTGACTGCAAGAAGCAGCGCTTCCCCTGTTGATTCACACTATGTTGTGTTAATTGCAAACAAGGGTATATTTTGTACAACTACTGAGACTTTGGGATTGTTTTTACAGCTGTTAGCTTATCCTGCCTATTAAAGAAATTGGAACTGAAAATGTGGTCCTGTAAAACAAAACAAACACACCTTAAAATATATCCCATCAATTTTGTATTTTTGTCTTAGCAGTCAAAAATGAGAAAACTGTTAATAGAGTTTTGTGGTTTTTTAAATGGTGACTTTTATTACAGAGGAATAAAATAAATTTTGGAAGAAATTGTATTGCAAAAAAAGAGAAAAATAAAACAAAAATTATCTTAGATTCAAAAACAAGGACAGTATCAAAAAACCTTTAACTATTAAAGGCTTAAACAACACTTGATTCCCAGGATTTGCAGCAGCATTAAGAAATCTTTGGAATCCAGTGAGGACATCTACTCCATCACCTACTTCGAATATGCCTATGGATGATAATAGACAAAAATAAATGAATTCCCAGAGTAGACACAAGAGATAAAGGAATTACTTTGAGATACCCTGCAGTAGCAGAGTCTCAGTACATAATGAAGGCATGAAAAGAACGCATCAGATTTAGCAATTTGGAGAACACTTACTACTCTGACAAGAGTGTAAAAGAAAATGATCTAAGAGCAATTGGAGGTGATTATGCATCTCACTTAAAAAGTTATGCTGTAAAGGAGAGCAGAGAAATAGCTCTGCGGCTGAATGCAGATGGATAAGGAATATAGAGAGAGTTTTTTGCTTTGTTTTGTTTTGTTTTTCCCATTAATATTCTTTGCTTGCTTTAAGATGAGAGTAAGCAATCATAAAGTGAAAGAATAACGCTTTAGATGAGACTCAAAAAAAAAAACAACTCACTGCCATTGAGTCGACTCCGATTCATAGTGACCCTTCCTTGGGTTTCCAAGGTGGTATCTCTATGGCAGTAGGTTGCCCAGTCTTCCTTCCAAGGAGTGGATGGTGGATTTGAACAACCAGCCTTCTAGTTAGCAGTCAAATGCTTTAGGCACTATGCCCCAGAGAGAGGAAAAAATTGCTGGAGAGTGGTATCATGAAATGAGAGAGGATGGATTCTAGAGCATATTGAGAGACACAGTCATTTCATTCATAATAAAAAGAGGAAATACAGAGATTATGCACATTGATGCAGAAAAATTGATAGATACCATGGTGGGAACTCATGGAAATTCTCTTCATTCATTTGCTGAGAACATCCAGCTCCCACTCAGATTATTGCTTCTTCAATGGAAAAGTAAATTCCCTCTTTTTTGTTTTGTTTTGGATATTAAGAAAGGTGATGTATATAGTTGAGTAACAATACTCCAAAATAACAGGACTCCTGACATGAGACTGTGGTTATGCTAAAGTCTGAAGCTAAAACTATTTTGAATCGAAAGTAACCTGTGCATCAGGAATACAGCCTGCCATTCCTATAATCTCCACAGTAGCCTGAGAAAATCACTTGATAAACAATTTCAGAAAACAATGTCATTTTATTTGCTTACAAGTTTTGCTTGCTGCCTGGGGAGTCAGGTCCAAAAGAATTCTTGGAAGAGCTGCCTACTCAAAACAAACTTTGGAATTACACACGTCCTCCCTGCAGTCACACAAGGAGGGTCTCACATGTGTTTGGAGGCCAGATGTATCCTATTTAATGATTACTTTGTCACTAAAAAAAAAAAAAAGTTTAGAAACATATATAATCTCCTACCTCTCAGATGTACCATCACCCAATTGTGTAATCATTATCTAAATGTCAACCAGTCATTGGATTTTTACTGGATTTCCTTGTATTTTCTTATGTAAGCTCACTGAACTGTCAAAAGGAAATTACTCCCTTTAAAGATAAATGGTGTATTTTCACAAAGAGAAAAAGATTTTTCAATTTTCATGAGTTATAATAATCTTACAATAATCAGATTTTTGAAAAGCATATATTAGGATTTTTTGTTCATGCTCTATATTCTTTAACATATACTTCTTTGTTATCTTGTTGCTATGCTAAGAATTTCATAAAAACTGGAAACAGTAATAACTATAATTTAATTATACTTAGATAGGAAATAACTATTGTCTTCAAAATGGTTATTTAAAATATTGTTGTTGTTGTTGTTACTTGCCGTCGAGTCAGTCCTGACTCATAGCGACCCCTCCTTGGGTTTCCAAGGCAGTATCACTACGGAAGTAGGATTGCCCAACCTTCCTTCCGAGGAGTGCCTGGTGGGTTTGAACCGCCAACCTTCTGGTTAGCAGTCAAGTGCCTTAGGCACTATGCTACCAGAGCTCCTATTTAAAATATAATTAACACATTTTGTCCAGATCTACTTGGAATTATTATAACTATTTCTAACCTAAATCCATGAGAATTCCAAATTTCCTTTCATAACAATACACAGATAACTAAAGATCAATATGATCCCTTAGGTCTTATAAATATTAATATTTTATTGATAACTATCTTATTATTTTTCAATTGCCATCATTTGTAGTTTGGCCTGAAGAAATTAGACTCAAGTGATGGGGGTCTTAAAAGTTTTCGAGTAGCCATCTAAGATGCAACTATTGGTCTTCTCTCATGTGGAGCAGAGTGAAGAAAATCAAAGCCATCTGGAAACAATTAGTCCAAGGATAAGATGGACCACAAAGACATCAGCCTTCATGACACTGAGACCAGAAGAACTAGATGGTGCCCAGCTACCAATGCCAACCACCTGGGAAGGGATAGAAACTGAAGATCCTGGATAGAGTGAGAGGAAAAATGTGGAACAAAATTCAAAAACACAAAAATGACCAGAATTATGGTCAGAGAGAGACTGGTGGAATCCCCAAGACTATGGCCCTGGGTCACGCTTTGGGCCTAGAAATGGATTCACTTCCATGTATTAACTCTAAGCCCAACAGTAGAAAGACCTAAATGCAGTACACCTACCCCAGCATGATCCACCCATCTATTCTAAGGAGATGCACCCCTTAGATCAATTAGCCATAGAACATCAGAAGGGCAGCATTCACATAGAGGGGAAGCTGGACATACAGGAATACATAGTTAAGACAGGCACAGGGAGGGGGTAGTCACAGGGAGGGGAGGGAAGAGAAGGGAATGGTAATCGCCCATGAGATCAAATGTGCATGAAATGTTGAATGTAAATCAAATTTGCTTTGCAAATTTGTACCCAAAGCACAATTAAATTTAAAAAAGAAAGAAATTAGACTCAAAACAAACAAAATGTTTAGAAAATATATTTTTTTTCATTTCTTTGCTCTCACCTGGAAATTTTGAAGCAAACCAAGAAGGCATTTTTCTTTCTAAACTATTTTAGTCTTTTTGTTTCTCTGTTAGTTTGTGAAGCACTAATGAAAACACAAAATGATAGAAAAAAGTTAGACAAAGAAATAGAGTAACTTGAGATTATTTGACACTTGCAATATGAAATAACCTTGAAAGTCACTACTCCACCCTCACCCCTTCCCAGGCTCCCCAAAATTCCTAAACTTCATGTACATACACAGAATTTTCACTGAATTTTGAACATTAGGTCAGTACAACTGAAATAAGAATACTAAGATACTAAGGATATAAAGTCTATTTCATTTGAAAGGAATGCACACACACAAGAAAGATAAACAAAAAAAAAATGAAATAAACAACACTGCAGAAACTCATGATAAGTACACAAATTACACAAGTGTGTTTATTACAGTTTGCAAGCACTTTGTTCTACATTTCAAAAACGCCACCATCAAGCTGTTGGCACATTTATGTACAAAACAGATTAATTGTAATGCCTGCTACAAAGCATTCTTTGTGAAAATACAAACTCTAATACCAGAAAAAAAGCCAAAAGAGTCAACATCATTACATAAGTTTAAAAGACAGTTTTAAAAATCATCACAAACTGTTAAGACACAGAACTGAAACACTATAATATAGAATTGAAAGAAGCCCATTAATACTTTTGCTGAATATATGTAATACTGCATATATCAGAAAAATGTTCAACCAGTAAGATAAGCTAAGTGTAAAAAAAGAAGCAAAACCAACCCCAAATTAATTAAATAATTCTATAGAATTCATAATCATGCCACAGAGAACTCTATAATACTCCTCTACCTACTACAAGAACTTGTAAATTACTAATGATGCATGACTAGTCATTGTACAAAGATTGTTTCACTCATTAAATTTTATTAGAAATGCACTTACACTGAGAAAGAATTTCACAATGGTCAAATCAGTGCACAATACTACCTAGTTTTATAACTGACAAAAATGTCTTGTCAGGCTACATCATTTTAAAAGACACTTTACAGCATTCTTGTAGCATTAGAAATAATTAAAAGAAGAAAGTCAAGATTAAAACAAACACCAAATTTGGTCCAATAATACTGATTTTTTTTTTTTTATTCCTTTGATACAGGTACTTTTTATAAATGAATATGAATGAATAGGTGTTTAAAATGACTTACCTGAAATAAAAACACAAATATATCACTACACTTTCAAATGATACATTCTACTATGGCCTCTGACCACATTTTTAAAAACACTACAGGTAAACCAACATAGATTGGAAGGCTGCAAGCAAAGCTATTACCTTAACGGAAGGCTTTTCAAATATATCATACACAATTTAGGGATACTTTACAGAGGTGCAATCCATTAAACCTTTCAAAGCAGGTAAAACAACTTCTGAGGGATTAGTGTGCTTATTTTTAATATGTCACCTTCATAAAGGTAATTAATTTTTCACAATAGCATAAAAGTTCCAATCCAGCCACTGCTTACATCACAAAGAGAGCATTCTCCTGCAGACTACATGTAGTTATTTCCATTAATTTGTCTCTATACTAAACTTTAAAAGGTAAGCCTGGTGTCACAATCTTAAAAAGGCAACTAGCCATGCATTAGCATCAATGGTTCTACATGCTCACAACATAAACATGAGTAATCAGAGAAAAATGTCTTTTAAGAACTCCAAGAAAAATACAATGTTAATAAAGATAAGAAGCACTTTTTTTTTTTTTTTTTTTACCTACTCTTACAAATTTAGAAATTGCACCTTAGGTTGATGAAAACCTTAACCAGGGCCTGCCATAATGTGGCCACTGATCTTCAGACAAGATATCCGTATTTCAAGAAGAGTCATCATGATGTCATCGCTGTCTAGTGTTCATAATGTACAATGGTCCCTTAGAAGGTTACCTGTAGTTAAACTAGTTACTGAAATAAAAACTAAAAAGCATAAAAAGCTATTTTTTTCTTTTCAAAAACATAAGAAAAAATGCTAAAGATGTTATGCGTAACATGTAGGAAGTGGTTAAAAATCAAACAAATCTTTGCATTTGACAATGTTAGTATCTTCGGTATTACAGAACTATTAAATGAGTTTGAGAAAAAAAAAGGCTGGATAGGAGCTTGTAGAAGTTAACAATTTAACAGATTAGCAAATTAAGTGCTAATCAAGACAGAATTGCATTCAGGTGATTCATAAGTCACCCCATGCATCGCTGATGAGAAGCACTTTCTTTTTTTTTTTTTTTTTTAGTGGTTGGAGAGTGGATGGCCTTTAGTTAAACACCAAAGAATTCAAATGGTAGAAAGGGGAGTGCGGTATTATGTGTATGCGTTGAGCCGCTCTTTGGAGCGGGTAGAGTGGATGTCGTGAAGCTCTTGCTCCTCCTTCGACTTGATGTCCTCGTATTTTTGCATCCGGCAAGCATCTTTCACATAGGCCCAGTTGGCAGACAGAACCATAAGGTAGTGAACCTGAACAAAGACAATGTGCTATCAGGAAAGAAATATCCTAATATCTATTTACATTACAAATATTCACATGCAAATGGAACTAAAATTGAAGTTAATGACAGTTGCTAGATTATGAGTACTGAATGTGATTACATACATAAAGATTTAATAATGCTTTCAACAAAGTAAATTTTCAAGAACTATTAGCTAATATTATTACCATTAGTACTAGCAGCAATAATAGCAGTAACTGTAGTAAAAGTTATATTATCCCTGCCTTCTAAGACCTAAACTATTACCAGAACTAATAAACTAGAAATATGGATGCCAATCATTTAAACTAGTATGGAGTTGTATGTAAAAGAAGCTAGTGATTAGTGATGGCTCTATACAAAGAAGATATAATCCCAAAAGGAAGCTAAATATTTAAACATAATAATAATCTAAATTTCCACTATTTGAAATAATTTGATTTATAATTTTATATCTAATAATATAGGAAATACAGACTCTTTAACAAAAGAAAAACATCCAAATATCTATGATAAAATCTTTCTATAACAGAATCATTTCAAAGTAAGCATTTTGGGGGGACATTTATATTATTTGATTAAACTGGGATAGGTCACGCCTGAAAACATGCATTTTCACACAGACTCTTATATGAAATATAAGCAAATTCTGGGTGATGTTTAAATTAACAAGACATTTGAAAAATGTGTTTTGCATTGACATATTATTCTTATATATTTTAACTTTTTTAAAATAAAATAGAATCAGATCCTGGTTGTTTGTTTTTTTTAAATGTTTATGAGGTCGCTTAAAATAACTGGTCTGATTTGGCTCATTAGCACATTAGCACAGCCTCTCTTTTCTATTTGTAGTCTTTGACAAAAGATAAAAAACACCCTTAATTTTTTATAAAGTGTTCATTTCACCAATATATTAGACAATTTATTGGTGCCATAAAAGAGGTTATTAAGTAAATTAAAAGTTCTTCTTTTTTATATACTGACTTGTCTATAATTACTGTAGGTTACTGAGAATCTTCTGGAGTTCTATACTACTTGTTTTTTAGGATAAAGGAATAAGAACTGAAAACTTTGGTTACAAAAACTATTATTGATGCTCAGAGTACTTGTTCATTATTGATAGTCGGTACTCTTATGCGTAATTCATGTGTGTTTCAAAGAAGAGGCAAGATCTGGCACTTGACAGGTCTTCAAACATCTGTAAAAACCTGATGGGTTGAAGTAGGACTCATTCTTAATTTTTTTTTAAAGATAATTAGATGTAGAAGACATGAATTGAAACTACTAGAATTTTTTAAGAAAAATAAATTAATCTTATTTTATAAACAACTCAATGTGGTATTTTTATGTTCTTTTTTAAGGAGAAAAAAGATAATTGAAGTTAAGGATTTGATTAGATTGCTCAGAATATCATGTTGACACACATATATGCCACAAAAACAATTTGTTTATATGAATAGTAATCTAATGTCTAAAATCCTAATGAACTTACTTTTTTTTGTCAGTCTTATTGATATCATTGAGTGTTTTAATCCTTACACAGATTACCAAATCTTATCTCTATTGTAATGATAATATTTACTTATGGTAAGCCTTATTTTTCACTTAATTATTTGCTTACTGTTTCCATTCTGTTTTTACTGATATTAAAAGAAATAGGATTGTTATGAACTTCAGGCTCAAGAGGAAAGTTATCAAATTTATAACCAAATTACATGCTGTAATTCAACTTGAAGAACAAAGCATCAGAGATTTGAGATCTTACCATAGCAATAACTGCTGCCCCAGCTCCAGCAAGTGCCACAATAAACAAGTGGAAGGTCATGTTTAGCTGCAGAGGAAACCACAGAAAACTAAAACATGTGTCAAGTTTACAAGTGCAAGAGAGGTCAGGATAGCCACTGATATCTTATGAATATGAATTTTTTTCTTCTCAAACAAAAGTGATTGAGTAAATCACAACTGTATCATTTTACTATAATTTAATTATAAAGATGAAATCATCATTGATAATGATAATTTTCAGTAATATAATGATATAAACCTGTTATCTCTTTTTAAAGATAATTTTTAATTGTTTCAAGCTCAGTAAAATGCAGACATTTCTAGATAACATAGAAATACTTGTTATATTTTTTTATTAAAATATGTACAGTATTTCAAGTATATTTATTCCCCACTCCCCCTGAATAACACTTCTTCAAGAAAAAAAAGTTTCTGAAAGAAAAAAAAGGGGAAATGCAGTATAGATTTAATTATATATTCTTCAAACACCAAATGGAATGCTAATTCTGACAAAATTCAAGGCTGTAAAATCACTCACCTCAGTGGATTCACACATCCTCAAGAAATTCTCAGAGACGGTACAAATTTTCTTTTCCTCTCCAATTGTCACAATTCCTACAACATGTAGAAAATTACAACTTAGTGTTATAAATGTTTTAAAGAGCCAAAGGAGAAAACAAGGAAGTTTTGCTCATCAAATCTAAGCAAATTCCATTTTATGTTTAAAAGGAACAATCTTCATTCAGTGTACTAGATACTATTATGAATAGAAAATACAAAACTATTTAGCCTTTATGAAATTTAAAACATTTTCTACCTGAATTCAGTGGAATGTAATTATCAAAATTTTCACATTCACTTATAGGCAATTCATTGGTTTGGTCAATTAATATGATAATACAGACATCATGATTATTTTGATAAGTGCACCCCAGACCATACTGAAGTCAGTATTCAATTTGCTCACTAGTACAAAGTTCTGCTAGTTTATAAAAGAATTGCCCAAGGGAGTAGTTTATCTTCTACTGACAATTAAAACAGTTTTATTAATAAGGGGAAACAAAGAAAAATGAAGTTTCACTAATATTTACCATGGCTACAATTGATTTATGGACGAAATCTATCAGATTCCCCTAGGACACTGTCAAAAATAAACGTATCTAGGCTCCAACACAGAATTGTTAAATCAGAATCTACAACTGTTAGGCTTAGAACACTGCAATCTTAACAAGCCCACAGATGATTCACTTCCGTTGCTCTAGATCACATTATAGAATACCAAACCCAAACCCAACCCATCGAGTTGATTCTGACTCTTGGTGAGTCTACAGGACAGAGTTGTAGCACTCTGTAGGTTTCCATGGCTGTAAATCTTTACAGAATCACACTGCCTCATCTGTCTCCCACAAAATAGCTGGTGGGTTCCTACTGCAGACCATTTGGTTAGGAGCCTAATGCTTACCCATTATTCCACCAGCACTCCCTATTATAAAGTACAGAGGTAACCAAGTTCACCCTAAAGAGGCTCTTTAATTTTGTTTGAGAACTATTGAAGTGCTAAGTATATATATATAAAGAAAAAAAAAATCACACAAACTAGATAATAAGATTTTAGCACTTTCCTTTTATTTATATCTTTTTATTTAATATCTGCATGTATTTACACATACTTAGCCTTAAGTTCCACTATCAGCTCCTGCTTACAGACCATTGCCATCTCTGTTATGCCAATAGTTTGTGTGATCTGTTTATCTTTCAAAATAATAATAATAATAATAATCTACTTTAACAGCATCAAGTGCAGAGATCTCTCTGAGTGGCCTTTTTTCTGCCAAGATAGTTCTAAAGGAAAAAAAAAATCCACCTATAAGATTTGTGTAATAAATCACCATTATTAAAAAAGTTTCCTTGTAAAGACTGTATTTTTCCATACTGATGCATTTGGAACGCACATGGTATATACACATTTCTTTCCACTGCTCATTTGTCAGTCTGTTGTACTGTGGTTGATTAGATGTGGCTATGATGCTAGAAGCTATGCCACTGGTAATTCAAATACAACCAGGTCAGAATTGTGGGCACATTTAAGGAGAGCTCTAAAACAGAGTAGGAAAGAGGACCTGGCAATCTGTTAAAGTGTCTAAGACACTTGACTGCTAACTAGAGGGCTGGTGGTTCAACCCCGCCAGCCACTCCTCAGAAGGAAGGTTGGGCAATCTACTTCCTTAGTGATAACACCTCAAAAACCCAAGGAGGGGTCGCTATCAGTTGGGTCTGACTCGATGACATGTAACAACAACAATGAAAACCCTATGAATAACAGCAGAACATCATTTCATACAGTGCTGAAAGATGAGGCTCACAGGTTGGAAGGTACTTGGAATACAACTGGGGAAAAGTTTTCTCCTCAAAGTAGTCAACCTTAAAGATGTGGATGGAATAAAGCTTTCATGTCCTTCATTTTCCGATATGGCTTAACTCTAAATAAGAATGAAAAGCTGCAAACCTCCATTAACAACTGAAACATGGAATGCAGAGAATATGAATTTAGGAAAATAGGAAGCCATCAAAAATGAAATGGAACACATAAAGATCAATATCCTAGGCATTAGTGAGCTGTAATGGATTGGTATTGGAAATTTTTAACTAGACAATCATATGGTCTTCTATGACAAGAATGAAAAATTCAAGAAGAATGCCATCATATTTATTATCAAAAGGAGCATTTTAAAATCTAACCTTATGTACAAAACTGTCAATGATAGGATAATATCCATATGAATACAAGGAAGAGCATTTAATACGACAATTATTTAAATTTACACACTGAACACTAATACCAAAGATGAAGAAATTGAAAAATTTTAAGAAATTTTGCAAGCTAAAATTGATCAAACATACAATCAAGATGTATTGATAATTACTGGTGATTGGAATACGAAAGATGGAAACAAAGAAAATGGATGAGTAGCTAGAAAATATGGTCTAGTAATAGAAATGATGCCAGAGATTACAAGATAGAATTTTGCAAAACCAATGACTTATTCATTGCAAATACAATTTTTCCAAAAATATAATGGTGACTATATCCATGGACCTCATTGGATGCAATTTACAGGAATCAAATCAACTACATCTGTGGAAAAA